GTAGATTAATGATACCAAGAAAAAAAAAAAAAAAGTGAAGCTGATTGTCCTAAAAGTTGTACTTATTAATCACATATGGCAGGCAGTGGCAGTAAATACTTTATATATACATATGTTATATGTATGTACTTAGTAAATATTTAAATACATTAATGCTCATAATTTTTTGAAGTTCAGGCACTATTATCCTTTTTTATTTACCCTTAATAAATTACGACAGAAGTCTCTAAATAATGTGACCTCAAAAGTAAAAACCTGAACACATATCCCAAATATATGTGCATATATTGTTAATTTGGCCACAGCGAGGGAAGAGGCTAGGGGAAAAAAGGTTCTGTTTTCCACCTGTGAAAAATAGTTTCTTTAAACATCTCTATTTTGGAGACCACTAGACCAGGAAACAGGCTTAGGTTAAGTAAGCTGCTAGTAAAGGTTCCAAAGTTCTTCCAAAAGAACCTTTTGCTATGTTGCCTATCACTGTGAGATCTGGCTGTGGAGAGGGATTATAATAAATTCTTGCATTCATACCCTTATGTTCTTCCCAGCACATAAATAATTTAAATAAAATCTCTATCTTCTCTCCCAAGAAATGAGCTAATTCTGGGTTGACTTATTTTAGAAGGCAGGGCAAGAACTGGGACTTGTGAAGAAAAATTTCCATCACCCTCCAACAGAAACCCCATTCCAATCATGCCCCATTTCTCCCCAGAACCTCTCAGAATACATAGCTATGAATGTACTTCATGTTTTCTATGTTTGCCTATCTTGGACAGTTCATATAAATGGGAGTCACAAAATACTACATGGCACTTTATGTCTAGTTCCTTTACTCAGCATCTTTCAAGGGTCATCCTGTTGTAACAGTATCAGTACTTCACTCCTTTTTACTGCTGGATCATTGTATGGCTATAGCACATTTTAGCCGTTTATCAGTGGATGGACAAATTTGGGTTGTTTCCATTTATTATGAATGTGGACGTTCACATACAAGTTTACACTGTGGAAAGGTTTTGATTTCTCTTAGGTGTGCCTGGGATTAGTTTTGGTAGGTCATACAGTAACAACATATTTAACTTTTTCAGGGACTGCACGATTCTTTTCCAAGGTAGCTATCACCATTGAGGATTGGGACTTTTAAATTGCCTCCCCAAGGGCTAGTGCAGTGTTTATACAATCAATATTATTGAACAATTCATTCCACAACCTTTTTCTCAAATCAATGTGAACTTTTTGGTTACTTTTTTTATGACTCAATACAAATCCAAAGCGTGTACCCTACTCATTAACACTGCCCTTTTCATATATAAAAAGAGCATACTACCGGTTTATATACATATGAAGAAAAAGACTAATTATAAAACTGAAAGTATGATTTATGTCATCTTCCAACCATCTAGCCTCAAAATCATGGACATAGTTGCAGTTAGTGCCAATCATGTTAACTTTTACAGTTCATTTACTTGTATGTAACATTTCTAAAACTGATATGCATAAACACGGCCAACATCTACTTTGTGAAGTATTACTCACTGGAAGAATCTCAAATGTCTGTAGTGTTCCACTGTTTAGTGTTATTGTTTCCGGGTCAACAGTAGCAGCAGGGGAGTCTGTCGAAGCTGTTGTAAGAAGGACAACACTAAGTAAAAAAATTTGTCAATTTAAATTTCCCTAGTGTACTCAGTTATTATGATGGCAATCTCATATTGGGTTATTCGTCTGGAGACCTTAAGTCATTTAAATTTCATATGAGAGACAAGAAATCTAATGGATTTATCTGGGATGGCACACAGATGAGGGCTTAGCCAACTATGGCCCACACAGCCAAACCCAACTGACTACCAGTTTTTATGAAGTATAGGAACATAGCTCTTTAATTTATTTTATCTTCTGTGGTTACTACAAGGGCAGAGTTCAGTAGCTGTGACAGAGACAATATTTGCTAAGCCCTAGTATAGATCACAAAATATTTCCGATGTTAGGAAGAGAAATTAGTGTATGTCTCCTTTTCTTAAGCTGCAAAAAGAGATAGGAAATTAGTAAAAAAAATTTCCTGGACATTCTGGTAAGCAACACAGATACCTGGAATAGCAGTCCCAAAATACTAGGCTTTACTTCTGGCAACATCATTTCCTAACAGTGTGAACCTGGGCAAATTATTTCACTTTAACCCAAACTAATGTTCAGAGACTATCTGCCTGCCTACCTCATATAATTGTGAGGATCAAAAACATGAAGTATAACACAGTATTAATTCAGAAGACCATGTTTAGGAGACTGAACAGCACCATCATAGATGTGATACTATAACCCTAACCCACTCTTTATAATATCACATTCTAATACATGAGATAGCATAATCTATAGATGTGTCAACTGAGGTTCAGAGTTGATCTGTCACTGCTCAAGTTTATAAAGAACTAAGACTAACTAGAAAAAAATATGATCTCTCTTGGTGCTTTCAGTTGCACATATGGGTAAATCCATGTGAAAAACAAATTGGAATTGACTTTCAGTATTTAGTCTTTATTGTTAGTTTATAACGCTTCTCAGTTGGAAAGCCATGTGACATGTTTACCAAAAGAAACACACCTCATTCATATTTCCATGTGATAAAGGATTCTTAAGATTATACCTAGAATAAGCGATTTCAGACAAATCTAAATCAAGGTAAGCAAGCTATGGCTGGGGACAAATGTGGTTCAAGACCAAAATGGTTTTTATTTATTTTAAAGGATTGTTTAGAAACCAAACAAAATTCCACAGAGACCTATGTGGCCTCCAAAACCTAACATATTCGCATTTACTGTTCTGGACCTAAAGTTTGCTGATCCCTAATCCCTAACCTAAAGGCAGAAACCATCATTGAGAGTTTAGTCTGAATTCCAAGAATGGGATGCTGTAAATTATTCTAAATAGTTTAAAAAACCCATGCTATGAATATTAAAAGTCCACTTATAAAATGTTTGCTATTTTTTTCAAGTATCATTAATCCAACAGTCAAAGAAAAATTTTAACATACCCCATGCACAATCAATTTGTAACAGTAGCTCTCATATTTATGGTGGGCTAGTAATTTCAATTGCTTTGCAATTCTCAAGACTAAAAGAAAGCAAGCAGGGCCAAAGATAAGAAATTCCTCATCCTTTATCATAATGGTAGAAAGCTAAAGCAAATAACCAAATTGAAATGAGCACTTTAAGAATGAAACAGGCATGATTACTTTAAGTATCTCTAAGGTAGTTTTGATAGTTTCGACAGTCATTGTGTACTTAGATATACACTGCTAATTAACATCAATAGGGTGCCTGGTGATTCTCAAATAGGATCAGACGGTACATTTGAAAATTTGTAGGGTATTTCTTTTTATCATAATGATTGAAAGCACTACTGGCATTTTGTTGTCAAGGTTGGGGACACTGAACATCCTGCAATGTACAAGACAGTCCTACCAACAAAGAACTATCTTACTCAAAATGCCAATAATCTCCTGGTTGACAATAACATGCAGTGACTGCTTTACTCCTGGCAATGACCTTTCCATAGGCAAACAGAACATAGGAAAAAAGGTGAGATAAAAAGTGAATAATAATAATATTCTGAGAATTTTATTTTCATCCCTTTCTGTCACTCTATAATGTAAAGAAAGGTAGAAAGACCAACTTGGCTTAGATCTTAGGACATAAATTTCCCGTCCCTTTAACAATTGCTGTGTTATCATCTCACTGAGCACAAAAAAATGTCAGAGGCAAAGGAAAAAAGAGTAAACAAAACAGTTCCTATAGGAAACTGGCTCTGCAGTCCCTGAAGAAAATCTTCTACCTCACCAAAACCCTTTTCTACGTACCACCTCCAATTCATTCTCAATTTGTCTTCTGGTGAAATACTACAAATGATGGATGCATCACCTTATGAATTCTATTTCCTTACTCAGTTGATTGTATTTTAGGTAATTTTCTATTACTCATTCTTTGGAGCATCTAGAAAGTAAAATGATTTAAAATGGTTTAAAATGACTGGGAAGTTCGTCATCAGACCTTCTTGTCCCCATATCCATCCTCCGTGCAAATATTAATTGAGCTAATAAGCATAAAATGCCTTTAGATCTTAATTTGTCAATGTGGGTAAATTTCTGTCAATATTCTAGAATACTGTAAGTTTGTCAGAGCAGTTAACCAAATCACCTAGGTCAAATTGCAAGGAGTCCTGACATTCAGAGACTTACCGACATGGGTGATCTGGACTGGAATCTGCAATGCTGTCATTGGGCTTGGAGAGATGGGTGTATTGTCTTCCAAGTGAGCGACTCGGATCTGAACATGCTGTACACTGGAATTGGTACTGTTTGGAACTCCAGATGCTGATTTATTCTCCAAAAACACTGGGTTGTTTTTTTGATTCTCATGTAACTGTTTAAGACCTTTTATTAAGACTGAAGGGAGATGGGTAGACAAAAAGAACATTGATTCTCCGACAGACCACCATCTAAGCAGTAAGGCAGGTGGGGGGTAAGGAGGGAAAGTATTTGGAATAAATAACTGCATACTCAATGTGAGATCTTAACCAAATTAACAATAAAAATATTTAAAACTATAACCTGTCTGGAAAATTTTAGAAATGCTATCCATCACAACAGTTAAAATTCCTAACAATGTTCTTACAATCTAAGGTACATTAAAAAAATAGCCACAACATGAAATTAAGACATTTCTATGACCTAGGCCTTCTTGATAACATTATTATTATTTAGGAATAATATTGATAATGTTGAAGAGCTTATTTTCATTTTTAAATGGTATACTTTTCTCCCTAAGGACTCAAGGGCACTTGAATGTTTCTGCCATTGCAAGAGAATAATCAGTTGCTTGTCAGTGTAATCCAGAGCAGCTGATCTTTTCCAAAAGTAATATGGAACCACCTTGAGTTCTAGAACAGTAAAGCTGACTCGACTTGCCCTGTTCTCCTACTCATGATAAACCACATTACGTCCTATCAGTGCTCTCAGGTGATGCCACCATCTGGCTGGGTTCATGTTACATTAGTATTCACTCTTCTCATTTTAACATAGATTTATAAACTTATAATTGGGCATTTAATTTTAAAAAAGTCCTACTCCTTAGGCCAAGTTCATCAGCATTAATTTTCCTTTGGGAAAATGGAAGTTGGAGCTCTATACTAAGAGGAATAAATTTTATTAGTGCCTGAGTGCAAAGCAGGCAATCAAGTGACAAGTATACCATGCCCCACTTTTTGAGCAAATAAGATCTTTAGATTTACATAACAAATAAAATTGAAATATATAGAGCCTTGGTATTACAAAATAAGAACCATTCTTCATAGTTTGTGTGAGAATAAGAATGTATATATTTTCATCTTTAGGTGCTTTCAGAATTAGAAATCACATCAACTCTTCAAGGAAAACAAAGACATCTACTCAAAGAAATAAGTGGAGGTTTAAATGCAAATCTATGGGTCATATCCCTTCAGTGGAGGCCAATAACTTCTAACCTCTAACTCTTGAGGAGTATATGGTTAAGACAAGGGAAGGACTTAAGCAAATAATACATTACCAGGAAATGAAACATCTTTATGGTTTGCAATTTGCCTTTTGATGGTCCACCATTTACTTCGAAGCCATTGTGGTGAACGGACACTGCTCCATCCCTCTGCCAACAGATCCCAGTTTATGTCATTTTCATCAGCTACATCAAGTTCTGCTATTCTACAGATTACAAAATAAACCTGTTAGATATTATTTTCCTTTAAGAACCCTCCTCCGACTACAAGTGATGGCACCAGCAATAAAGGGAATGGCAGTTATGTCACTGAGATGCTACTGGTAGGTTGCATGGAAAAGGATCCTGGGAGTGCAGACCTGCTACCAGAACTAAACTATGAAATATCACCAGCAACAGCCTTTGGTTAATGGTATAACCAATGGTCAGAATCAGAAATGGTCAGAACCAGATGAAGCACTGTGAAAGAAAGGGAGTAGCTAAAGGTTAGAACAGGTTAAGAACAAGTTTAGCTATACAATGTTCTGTACTGTTTTATATTGTTATAGTCATTCATTTTTTGGATCTGAGCTTTACCATTTGTAAGACAAAAATGTTTAGAAATGAGTAATTTCTAAAGACTAGTTGAAAAAAAGTGTATTAAAAAAAACCCAAAGCAAAAATGAAAAGACAAAAATAATACAGCAGCAACCAAAAAATCAAACAAAACAATAACACAACTAAATTTGGGATTTTAAGGGCCTATTTGTTTTCTGGCTTTAACGTCATGATGATTTTGATTTTCAGTAGGGAGTAGCCACAAAGACAGCTCCTATTACCTTAGTGTCTCAAACATTTTCTCGCTGGTATTTTTGCCCATTTGAATCAGTCTTAACAGTTACATCAACTAATTTAAAAAATAAGTGTGGAATTAGTATCTTAATCTATTTGTGGATATGTATGAAATGTAAGTATCTGATTAGGCCCAGTTTGTGGGTAACTAGTCTGGGCCTCTTCTCGGTAATGTTATTACAGTAATTGAAGATTGAAGGGCATGGAGACTGAACAGCCCTCTGACCTGCAATGTAGTGCCCCTAGGCTACTGCAGTGAGGCACATGCGTGGGACAGTGGAGAGCTGCACTGCCGCTGCATGTGCCGTACCTGTTCTGTGGACATACAGAGGACTTCAGTCTCCACGACTTCAATCTGGTGCTTTACACAAGCACTAAATCCACTAAAAAGGAACAAACACAAAACAAATAGAAAGAGCTCAATATGAAATATTTAGTATCTTAAATATGATCTCTACAGAAAGGATGTGTTTCAAACATTAGGTATCTATGGAAACCAAAAAAGGAAGTCCATTAAGATACCCATAGCCTTTAAGCAACTTTTTTCATTAAATAATTTATGACACAAACCTAAGGATGAGGTTGATTTCATCTTCCTTGGTCCACTCAGTACCTCCACTCTGTTTCCAGTTCAGGTAGTTGAGCCATTTAGAACGACACTGCTTTTCTGAGCGGGTACCCACTCGTTCTGCCACAGCTGCCCAAGATACACCCTGTGTGACTATGTCACCTGGCTCAGTGCTCGTCAATTCATGAACCACCTCTGCAAGTCTTTTTTCTTCTTCTTCTGTCCACTTCCCTGAAAGAAAGAAATTCAACTATGACTGCAACCTTTGCCCTTTTCTGCAAATCAGATTCCACCCTGTATTTCCAAGGACTGATGGGAAATTCTCAAATAAAAGTATTTCCAAACAATCTTCAGGTGGGAAACTGCACACACCTACTAAGACAGTTGCATTTCACTAGCCCAGTAAGGCTCTTAATACAAAAGAAAAAACAGAATCCTAACAGAAAACACTGATTGACACTTTAAGGGAAGAAAAACCACCCGCAACGAGAAGGAATTATGTATTGTCAAGTTACACTAAGTCCTAAGTGTGAAGAGTTTCCTCGATGGCTTGACAGATACAGAAACTCACTTTTTTCTTAGTCTCACCTAAGATACCCGGCTCTGCACAAGTGGAGTACGTTCAATAGACTATTACTTATAGGAATGAAGGACAAGTGGAGTAACACCTATGGCCTCCCACCCATTTTAGTAAAGCAAAAACTAGGATTATACAATCCACTTTCCTTAGTATCCCAACTCTAAGCTACTGTGATGAAATGTAAGTATGAGACTGCTATTCATGAATATTTTTATTTCAGGTTTTCTTGAATCCATAAACCCACTAATAACATCAACTGTTCCTCTTGGTCTTTTCTTAAGGAGCTTGGGCAGAAAAACAGAAAGAAAAGAGAACTTTTACCTCTATTTGTTTCCACTTTGTCACTAGTAGTAACACATCTAGAAAATATCAAAAAGGCTATATATGCTTGCTTCAGGGATTTATTCAACAAGTATTTATTGAATACCTATTATATTCTAGGCATAGTTCTGTGTATCATGGATCTGAGACAAAGTCCTGCTCTCCAATTTTAGCATGGTAAGAAAGGAAGGGAAAACTCAGATTGTACTGTCTCATGGGGTGGTACAGAAGAGGTAACTCCCCATAAGAGACATGAAGTCAATGGGAAAGGAAGTAGGCAAATCAATTTCTCAGGCTGGCAATCAGGGAATGGCAGTTTTTCTAAATTAAGCTAACAAACAAAAGGGGTTCTGTACTCACAGTGTCTCACATGAACCTCTGGGGTCCCATTCTCAATCTAAAGCTCCATCCTTGTTTCATTCATTAAGCTATCATTTACCACAGAATGATAAATGGTGGAATTTATGTTCTCAGTGCCTTGCAGGTTATAGTGCTGGCTGAGTGGTTAAACAGGAAACATTTCTGATTCCACCTTAGCAGGGTAGGGGGTGAGGACAGCAAGTATACTCTCTAGAAGCTCAAGCAATTACTCAAAAGCTATTTTTGTTATTAAAGGACTAAGCATACATTGTGGACCCTTCAGAGAACATTAGGGCTAAAAGGGAACTGAATTCACCAATTCTAACATCTTCATTTTAGAGGAAACTGAAGCTCAAAAAGGTGAGAATTAGAGGCAAAGCCTAACTGTTATTGGTCACAAAGGTTAGGTTTAACAGTATCATCAGTACATCTCTGTACATTAAGAGTTAAACAAGCATTTGTGGTCTGCCCTGGGGACTGAAACACCATTCACAAGTTTTTCCTATGGAAAAATATCCTTCAAGTTTGAAATAAGCAAAATATGCACAACCTTTGGAATACAGCTTCTTCTTAGGCTGGGACCTGCCTGGAACTGAAGTTTTTTATAAACATGAGCTGATAAGCTGTTATTTACATAAGCTTAACAGTTATATAGGTTTAAAGTTATTTCCTGTATATATGCCTTAAAAACACTTTCTCAACTGGAGCAGTTTTGAATTGCTACAAAATGCAAACATGCTAGACCTAAAACATTTTAAACTGAGATGCTGTGTCCCTGTGGACCGTGTCACCTTACACAGAAGCACAAAAATAAAGAATTAGATGGTTCCATTAAAGCTTGAAGAAAACGGAAGACTAGGAAATAAAATCTGAACCAAAGTAAAGGACAAATTTCTCTCCAGAACAGAAGAGAAAGCAATGTCTGAAGGGGCAGGAAGCTCAAATGGTGACAAAAAAAAACACCAGCAGTAGCATGCACAGTACCTGTGTTGCAAGTATCCTTCATCAGTCGGCACCGATCTTTGACGGAAGATGCACTTCTTCCTAGCGCCGCCCCTATTGTTGCCCAGTCATTGCCATGCTTTATCCGGAGCCTAAAACAAGAGTCTGCCAATCAGCATTTGGTTCAACTGTTTTCTCCCTTTTAATTTCATCATTTATTCTTCATTCTTCTTCTTCCCATTTGACTGGTTTGGAAGTTGTGAGCAGCAATACTTTGAGAGCCAAAGTTTGAAAGTGTGGCCTTTTTTTGGGGTCCACAGTTGTCTGTGGGTGAAAAAAAAACAGGCAGCAATTGCCTTTTTCCTGGGTCAGAGAAGAAATAAGTAACTTGGATATGTGTTGAAAAAAGACCAAATTTCCCCTCAGGTTATTGACATAATCTCTCAGGCAATCCCCAGATTTTTCCCTTTTGAGTACTCTTAACAAGTTCTTCTTAGATATTTGAAAAAGTTTTACAAGTCCTTATGAACAGGATCAACCTTCGATTTTTTACATGATCCATACAATCCATTAACCCATACGTTATGGCCTGAACTCAGTGATGCAAAATTATGTTTCCCGTGAAATATCCTCTGTAAGGCTGAGTCAGCCTAGACATTAAGTGAAACCAAACATTTGCCAAGTCATCATTCTAAACTAATCCATACAGCACAACCCTGGTTTTCATCCTGGCATTTAAGTCCCCCAAATGTGGTCTTCAGGTCACCAAGAATGGCTATCCTGACCTCTTCTGTAACCCCTATTAGTGGTCTAAGGATGCATTTCATTTGATAACTGACAATAGGAGCCTAAATTTATGGGCATGGCTACTCTGTACAGGTATGGATCTGGTAAGTTCTTTTTATGGTTAATCATCGTTAACAGCAGGATTAAATCATAACAGCCTACCAAAGATCTCTTAATGTTTTCAAAGTAAAACTTTTAAAAACACAAGACATTAAAAAAATTAAAACCCAATTATCAGAATTAATGGAAAAAATATGTTAACTTACTCCTTGAGCTTTTCAATTTCTTCTGGTGTATATCTAGAAATTTAAAGAAATTTTAAAAGACCAATTAAAACAAAGAATGCTAAAAATCTTAATAAAAATCAAATTGTCCCTTAGGGAGCCAAAAGTGAAGTCACTTACATAGTGGTATTTTTAATGTAATCAATTTCAAAGTAGATTAATACAATTAAAATTAATGCTATTTATTTTCTTTAAAAAGTATTTTTAGCTATAATAAAAGTGAGCATTGTACAATTTTCTTTAGGAAAATCCAACATTTAAAACATATTTGCTCCTATGCTGCCTAACTCTTCCTTTCTTTTAAAGTTAGGTTCAAGTACTGTATCATAGCTATTCTGGAAGACATATGGATGATATTATAAACCAGAACTAAAAAGAAAATCTATGGTAAATTCTGATAATGCACTGAAAATTTAAAACTTTCTCCATTCTACTCATGCATGGATATCTGACATACTCTTGTTCCAGTATAAAGGCTCTTTTTTCTAGTGGGCAAGTACTCAATACAGCCAAGGCAATGTTCTTTTTAAAAGCAGTATCTAGTAAGCCATACTACTACCACCTAATATTCCAAAAGAGAAATAAAAAATATCAGTAACATTGCATAATCATTGCATTGACAATATACCTTCCTATAAATGCTACCTGTAACAGAAATCCATGCACTGTATCCAGAAATTCAGTTATTTTCTATTCTGGATTAAAAAAAAAAAATAGCCTAGGAAATGCTATACTATAAAAATGAGTAAGAAAAATGTTACCAATGAATCTATAGTGTTCTTTCCATACTTCCTAATCTTTAACCACTGTCATATTTTTTATGTTACTTTACTACAAAGCAGATTTTGATGTATAAAGATAGCCAAATCTTAAATCTAACCTATAAAAGGTGACTTAGATTCTAATTTCTAATAGAGGTCTTACAATGAGATTTCACCATATTTACAACATGGACCTGGAGAAAAAATATTAACAGTAATAGTTGTCTCCAATTAAATCTTTGATCATAAACAATTTAAAAAAATGATAATTCCTTAAATATTTCCCCTAATTACATGAAAACATGCAGCATTACAAGTTTTCATACTTTCCCACGTGGTTTCTGTCATCATACATGCGAAGCACTCTTCTATAAACTGCAAACAAAGGCCGGTTCAGACCCCATGCTATAGTCCTGTAGAAATCTTTTCTTTCGTCTTTTGACATCTCAAAGATGATTTCTGTAGCATCTTTTATTCCGCGTGCCTAAATGGGTTACATTTCTTTGATTTAGGGATTTTTGATAAAATGCATATGGATAAACTGCTTTTTAAAAGTTGTTTATGTTTAAGATAATAGCATTTTAAAATAATGTAGTTAATTCATTAACAAGTCAAATGTAAACCTTAAAAAGTTTCAAGAGATGATACTTAAGTGTTCCAAAAGTAACTGCAGTGAATTCAATAAAGTCAAGTTCTATCAACCCCTTTTAAAATTATAAAAACTTAAAATCTAAAGAAAGCAAAGGAAGAAAATTTTAACAAAATTAATGGAATCAGGTAATAAAGAATAAAAAGGATAAGCAATGCTAAAAACTGGTTCTTTGAAAAGATCAATTAAGCTTAATAAAATATGAAAAGATAAATTCAAGGCAAAACTAAAAAGACAAAATAATACTGGAAGCAAAAATGACTAAAAAGACAAAAAAATACTGGAAGCCTAAGTAAAGATGTTACAGAGATTACATAGTTAACACTACAAAAATTTTATGGCATTAAATTTGACAACTTACATAAAATGCATTAATTCCTAGAAAAAGCCAACTTACCAAAACTGACTAAGGAAGAAACAGAAAATCTAATAAGTAATAAGCACAGATTATCAAGAAAATTCAATCAATTATTAATACTTTTCCCACAATGAAAACACCAGGCCCAGATGACTTTAAAGGTAAATCCTACCAATCAAGAGACACATTAATTCTGATTTTAAACTATTCCAGAGTAAAAAGAAAAGGGGACACTTCCTTGTTTATTTTATTAAACAAGCACCTATAAGGCTAGTGTAACTTCAATAGCCAAACCAGACAAGGCCTTTCAGAAAAGAATTTTTAGGCCAAGCTCATTCATTAACATAGATCTCCCAAATCCTTAAAATATTTTAGCACACTGAACCCAACTTGATATAAAAAGGTTAATAATCAATGCAAAAAGTTATCTTATTTCAGGAATATAAATTTGTATTAATTTCAGAAAAAATTATTAGTGTAATTAATCCTATGAGATTAATGGAAAAAAGTATAAAATCTCAGTAGATGTGGAAAAAACACTGATAAAATTTAACATTCATATATGATAACACAGCAAGTTAGGATTGCTGATAATCCGATAAAAGAAAAATATATGAAAAATAAAGATTTGGGAAAGAATCATTTACAGATTTTATATATACAGAAACCCAAAAATCTATGAAAAAAATTAATTGATTTAAAAGAGTATCAAGGCTGCTGGTTGCAAAATCAATATATAAAGTCATTTGCATTTTTATACAAAGCTCATAAATTCTTTAGAAGTTCTCATTTACAATGGTATCAAAATGAAAAGCATTAAGACTCAATCTTAGGCAAGTCACAGAAGTCCTTTATGGAGGAAAACACAGAAGTATCAAAGCACATTAACGATGAACTAACTAAAATGGAGAGCTATACAATGATCATCAATAGGGAGGCAGAGTATTGTAAAGATGTTAATTCCCCTCAAATACATGCAAAGTTTCAATGCAGTCCCGATAAAAATTCCAACAGTTTTCCATTCTCTTCAAAGGAAGAGCAGAGGGCCAAGAACCACCAAGATATTCAAGAAACTTGCCCCATCAGATACTGGGACTTCTGCAAACAATGTTGTACTAGTATAGGTATCAACAAACAGAACCTGTGAACAAATTAGAAAACCTAGGAACAAATCTTTCGAAGTTTGATTCAGGACAGAATAGACACTACTGGAAAAAGACTGATGCTTCTATAATGGTGCTGGGACAAACTGTGATCCATACAAAACAAAAACCCCAACACTGAAACCCTATCTCACACTTGCAGGAAAAAAATCAGCATTAAAGATAAAACTAGAAAACTTTTATGCCAGTGTATGAGAGTATCTTTATGCCCTTGAGGCAGAGGAAGATTTCTTAAGCGTGCAAAACATAAAAGCAAAATGGTGATAATTTCCATATTGAAATTAAGATTCTTTTTCATTAAATGACAGCTAGAGAGAAGGAAAAGACTGGCCATTAACTTGGGACGAGACATCTGTAACACAAATAACCAAAAGACCGTTAGTATCCAGCATACATTAAGAATGTTTAGAATATGAAAAAGATAAATAACTCCACAGAAAAACTGATAATAGACACAAACAGGGATTTCAAAGATGCAGCACAAATGGCGAATAAGCATATAAAAATATGTCATAAGAGAAATACAAATTAAAGCCAAAATAGCATTCATACCTACCATTTTTGTACAAACTAATAGCAAAAAACTACAAATAACAAGAATGAACATGAACTGTGGAATGGGTAACTTACAGTACATATATTTGAACAATGAAATACAGCTAAACAAATCAACAGGGGATGGGTTCAAAATCATTACTGAACAAAAGCAGCCAGTTTCAGAATACCCAGGGAATGAATTTATACAAATTTGAAAAACAGGTAAAATTACACTGATATGCATTTTAAACTCTCTTTTGAATGTGTGGAACCTCATAGTAAAAAGTTGGTAAATTTCAGAATCTTCTCTAAAATTATTTTATGCAGTTTCAACTCAGCAAATGATTGAACGTAAATATTTACAAGCACGGATAATCAAGACACTGTGTTGCAGGATGACCATAAAGTGAAATGAAAAGATAATTTTGCTCTTTTGCTTGTGGCAGTAACTTTCATTTATCCTTTTACACAACATATGGAATACGTGAAGTCTAATTAACTGTTTTAAAATGGCTCCACAATGTTCTTAGAAGAGCACTACATAATAAAAACCATGGTCAAAAATCGAAATAAAATGAGTTATCTTTTTCTAAGATCAGTGCATCTTTTTGGACATTTCTTACTTCTGCAATCCTATCATCATTCTCTCAATTATCCAAAAAAAAAGCTCTTATGTTATTCCAACTAATTTTCCTTCTTCCCCAATATCCAATCACCAGGCTCCTTTAGAGACTACTTGCTATCTGCCCTCTCCCTGTCAATTCTATTTCTAACCACTGTAGTTTACAGAATCCTTACTACTCTCAGCCGGTCAACTGAAATGGTCATCTAAAAGGCCTCAAATTTCAGTTACATTTCTGCCCTTCAATAAGTTGGAAGAGCTCTTGGAGATCATCTACTCTAATCCCCTAACAAGAAACCAGTGTCTTAATTCCCAAAGCTCAGGATTCTTACCATTCACTACTGTGTTATCTAAACCTGTAGCATTTTCTCAGTTTTAACTAAAGTGTATGTGGACCAGTGGACAATTTAATACACTTCTGGATACATCTTCACTGGTCACTGTATTTTTGTTTCTCTTAAAACAATTAGCTTCATGGGAAGGATCTTTATTTGTTAACAAACTTTTTTACTCTTAGAATTTACAAAGCTTATCTTGGGAAGAGTGCAGCTTAAAAGTAAGCTTAAGAATGTGGACATTCTAGGCAGCAATGTATTTAAAATAGTGAAAAATCATAAACAATCAAATATTGAACAACAGGAGAATGGTAAATAAATACTGTATACCTCACATTCCCAAACAATGCTAATGGTCTGTATTTCAAACATGCACTATTTGAATCTAACCCATTTACAAGGATGGTCAGCCAATTTGTAAAGATTTCCTTGAGAAGAACAGAAGAGCAAAGATCTACCCTACTGATCTCTTACTTAATTAACAGTTCTTCCTCATTTCCTATAGGAAAGAGTTCTAATTCTCTGGCCTGGACTTCAAAGCCAAGTCTCCAGAGGTAATTATCTCAGTTCAAGGGGATTAATTTAATGTGATCTGAGTCTGATCTCTAATTCCTTGGCGCTCAGCATTTACTTAAAGCTGTTCCCTCCAGCACTATTCTAGCTTAAGTTTTGACCCCCTTTTAAAATATCAAATCCTTGCTCTTCCAAATACTTCCCTAACTGCCCTAACCATGAGAATACACTCTTCCTTCTCTGCCATCTTTTGCAGACGTCACTACATGTATCATTCACTTGGTACAAAGCCTTGTCTCATTCTTTACCTGTTTTCAGCATTCCCAAATGGACTGCTGACTTCAAAAGCAAACACCATGTGTTAAGGCAATTTATATCTCCAGTGCCTCAAAAATATTGTGTTCAACAGACATTTAATGAAGAGGATGACTAAGCTAACAGGATATAAGCCTGAATATGAAAAGGAACTAAATTTTTCATTTTTCTTTTAAAAGGGAAGGACTAGTATGATGTCATAAATTCATTCAAAGAGGAAGATGCACCTCTTACGCTTTAGACAATGTAAACTTAATTTCTAACTTATAGGCTGCTTGAAAAGACAGGGCTTTAAGATTCTGTCTGAGAGGCTACTAAGATTTTGTCTAAACTTTAGGGTATTAACTGAAGAACCGGATTTTTAAACTGAGAATTCAAAATCTGTTTAAAAATACACTGTAACTATATATGTTAGAATTATTAAGCTACAATCTATTAGCTAATCATGCCTTACAAACATTACTGAAAAGCTCCTAATAAATATACACAATATGCTGCTTTATTTTTGTAATTAGCAATGTAAAAAAGTAATGCAACAAAAAAATATGCTGAGGGATACCTTCAGATAGCGTTCAATATTGTTCATCAAAATATCAATTTCTTCCTTGGACCACATCCCCTGCTTCCATTTATGTCCTTTAAAAGAAAACAAGTAACGTTACAGAAAATGTTATTCTTTGAGAGGAATAAAATACAAAAGATTTGCTTTATGATTAAATAATCTGTGGGAATAAAATGTAGCAAGTTTCTCATTCATCTGAAATCTGAAAGATGCCTAGATAAAGTTGCTTTTGTAATGTCTGGTTTTTAAGAAAGAATATATTTGACCCTACTAAATAAAGACAAAAAAAATTACCTCCTCTCAGTACATCTTTTATCCTTTCAGCAGTATGGGACTGCTAAAAAGACATAAGAACTATAAAAGCCAAATCATGCTCAAAACTTCTTGAAAAACTTCTCCCATGAAAAATAGATTTTATGGGTAAAAGGACATGCACAAAGATTCTAGGACAAGGTAAATGAAACACTGGATATCATTCCTAATAAGTTTTACTATACACTGGGTGAAAACAAACAATATACTTACTTTTGCTTCATTTTCTTACTTCAGAGCAGCATATACACAACCACTTTCTTCTAGGATTTTCCTAGCAATCCTTATGGGCATGGCAGCATTATGAACACTATGTTACTTTAAGCCTCTAAACTGTTTATCAAACTCAAGTTAGTAGATCTATAAAAGGTTTAACTTCCTACTCCCATAAGCAATAACTATAATGTCTCTTAAGTATCACCACTGTGCATTTATCATCTACTTCGTATCAGAGAAATAATGATTACTGAAAAATAAATGTTGGTTTCATGATCCCATTCAGAGCCAAGTTTAATTCACTTAGAAAAGTTCAATTACTGTAACTACTCCATCATAATTATGAAGGTCCAACTCAGAATCCTACTACAACCTCTTTTTTACTCTGATTTTTTCCCCACTGGACATTAAACTTCACAGTGCATATTTACCTTTGTTAGTCAGAGAATCCTTATCTTCTTTAGTTGTAAACCACGCTTGGCTAACTGCTGAAACTTCCTCATTACCCAACGGAGATATTTCATCTAGTTGTTCATTCTGTAGAATCTTGAAAAGATAAAAGTAAAAACAAAAAGTAGCACCTTGACTTAGTATCCAACCTAACTCATATCCATTTGTAATGTGTAATGCTAAGCATTATAAAATGCTAATAAAACTTTAATAATATGGAATTCATTTAATGTTAGATATAGTAAAAGTATATTCAAGTTATAGAGATAAATACTTTCTTGCTCTTTTTATTATGGCAATATGAAAACAAAATTAGCTGCATTAATGAATTATGACTTTCATTTTAGCAAGTAACCAAACTAGTAGCCTGGATTTTATAGAATACTGGCTAAGATTCCACTCAGTATTTTAAATCAATATAGGATATCTGAAGCTATTTGTATTTTTATATATGAAAAATGAGTTCAGACATAAAATAAAAAAATGGAAATGCAAGGGTTGAGGGCTATGGTTAATGTCCTCACAGGTAGTGTACTGCTTAATTATGTAGTCATTTCTAATGTACTCTACTCTCCTGCTAAATTTCAAGGATTAACAAGATAAATCAAAAGATATTACTGTGAAAACATGGTCCTCTTGTTATTCAATGACAATTTTGTTTTAATCAATCTTTAAAGTTGATTCTTATCCTCATTAATGCACATTCTTCTCAAAGAACTTTACCTTTTCTTCATTACTACAGCTAGAGCACTCTTTATTGAGAAATGTAGTCGAAAAATAACAGCTTTATTGAGATATATTTCACACACCATAAAATTCACCCTTTACCAAATACAATTCAGTGATTTTTGGTACATTTAGGCAATTATCACCAGGTACATTTTCAATCATAGACATAACTAATCTAGCAAATACTATAGGAAAAAAGCCACTTTTAAGAGAGTTGACCCTGGGCTAAAGACAGCTACAGTGTATGTGAGAAAGATCTGGCAGAAGTGCTAGCTACCATGTCAGGCATGAGCCTACCATAAGCAAATCAGGATAAGGGGAGAGTCACATACTAGTGTCCCTCAATCCAACCTATGGATTTGATCAACCTATTAAACTATGCCATTGGCTGGAGGTTAAGTCTTAATTACTGGACTATTTCTTCAATAAGCAGAAACTGAATTTCTAATTTCAAGAGGAACTGAAACCCACCTCATTTGCAAAGAGAAAAGCTGTCAGTGAACCACCAAAGAACAATGAGAAAAGGCACACCTGTACTGTCACCTACTTTATTTTTATATCTGGTGGTGATGAGTATATTTATGAAAGTGTTTTTTTAAATTCATGGGCATAAAGCTAGAAATCACTAGAACAAGAATGAAAAGTTTTATAACCCATATTTATGTGTCATATATTTTAGATACAGAGGGCTATCAGAAATCCTTGATATGTAAAATAACCACTTGTAAGAAATGTATTAAATGTTCTCCTGAGATGATCATCTCTTATATTAATCAGTTGGTTAAAAGAATAAAACCACAATTTCCTATCAGTCTAAATATATAACAAAGCCCATTCTATGAACCTCAGGAATAAACCTTTCATGCTGATCAACTGCTATCTCTGGACAAACACTTAACATGCCTTATGGCTCAAATTTTCCTGATAAGGAATTACAATTATTACTTAAGTCATATAAACATGTAAATAAACCACCAAATGAAGCAAGTAACTACAAAATTTTAGCAGTAATATTCAACATTGCCAGTAACAAATGAGTTAAATGAGTATAGCAGGAGACGTAGATGCCTTAAAGAGTGTCTGTTTGTATTAGTATATAGATATTAATGTTTTACAGTATTTTACTCCCATTTTTCACTATTATATAAATAAATTTTTGAAATTACTCAGGCTTTATTTAGTATGCTTTTGCTTTTTAAATGAAGCTTTTGTGAACTGGTTGTGGGGTTTCATGTCTATGATATATATAGACTACGAAATCTAAGAATAAATATTTCACCCATTGACTACCTCTTGAAACCATAAAGTATTGTATATATTGAGAAATATTTTAGTGTCTAATTATTTTACCAGCTAGTCCCATCACTGGAATGAGAGTACTATGTGAAATAGCTACACCTGGTTTGATGCAAAAGGACACAGCAAAGAGCAAACTATTTCTGAATGTTTAAATATGCTGACTTTCACTCACAATCTAATGATAAATCTTATCAACAAACATTAGAAATCATTAAAAGTTTTTCATTTACTAAAGTAGTAAGAACAAACCAAGAGGTTAATGTTAATTTTAAGTCATTAACTGTTCAGAAACAACTCAAACAAAACAATCCTGCAACTGTCTAACAATGCCATTGCTCAGTCTTATAATTAACTAGGTTGTAACCGAATCACACATGTGTGTACAGTTATTTTTACTGTGCTGAAAATGGAATGGAAATGAGACTCTTAGAGAGTCTTTGAATCTAAAATGGATCTGAAAAGCCCCATTCTGAAGAAAAGATGTGCTCCACTGCTTCAGAGGACTTGCCAAAAATTCCTGTCCAAATGACCCACTGAAACCCGAGGGTAGATTATAAGAATTCCAGCCTCGCTCAAAGCTGTTTGAAGCACATCAGACTCACTCTTCTGGAAATCCTGTCATTCTGGAACCACTATGAAGTTCCGTATTGCAAAAGGTTCACAGTGCACCTACCTGAGATGTCCTTACTCCCTGATGTTACCTATTATATGTCTTAACTGAAGAAGGGTCATTGTGATGTTTCACACGTAAGAAAAATAACGGTGTAATGTCTTTACTGTCTAACTTCAGAATATTTCATTAAAAGAACAGATGAAGAAAAGAACACAGTAAAAATAAAGGTGCAATCAGCCAGAGATAAACTTTTAAGTAGAACAGATTTAAGTTTTAGGTTGTACAAGAAAGCAAAAAACTGTGATAATTTTTGGAAGAAATAACTCTTCAGTGAGACAATTACAGAGGTAAACCTAAGAGGAAAAGAGTAAGCGTTGATTACTATCCAACCTAGTTCTACAGGCACCAAAAACAACTACCATCACTACAAATGTTTTAATTGTCATTACTATTTGAAATGACTAGTTCCCATTCACATTAGAACACAGAACACATGCAGTCTTTCTAAATCAATCCCAGTAAAAGTTATCTTAAAAAGCTTTACATTCCAACCTATATCTTAAATAACAGATAAGATAAAATTTATAGTTATTTAACAGATTGTGAGATCATTCCATGGAGACAGAATGTACATCATCATCTGTTTCAATAGGTGTGAACTACTCTACAGGGGATGAATTTTAAAATTCTTTATTTTCTTTCTTTCTTCATTTCTTAATTCTGAGACTCCTGTATGTGGGGACTGGAAACATGAATGAACTATTAAGTCTTACCTGAATTTTGTGGTTGCTACTTTGTCAGACTAATATGTTCTCATCATTTTATTACTTTAGGTGTTATGTTAAGGATAATCCTCTTGCACCAGTGAAAAGACTCACTATACCTGGATCTGTGTCACAGTTCCCTCAGTAATCTCATCATCTGCTACCTCGGTGGTTGCAGTCATGGTCACTTCGAAGCTCTGATCATTTTCTGAAACTTCAAGAAAAAGAACAGTTCAACCCCAGAATAATAATGGCAGGTTTTAATTATTTTTTAAAAACTCACAGAAAAAATACATGACCATCTAATTTCCTACCACACTCCTTTCCATTTATCACCATATACATGGATTTATTTGCTTAACAAATATTTATTGTGCCTCTAATACATACTAGGTATTGCTCTGGGTGATGGGGAGATAGCCGTGAGCAAAAGAAACAAAAATTCTGCCTCCATGGTGCTTATATTTTAGTAAGGAAGACACAAAATTATGTTGGATGGTGATAAATAGGATGAAGAAAAAATAAAGCAGTAAAGTGTTGGGAGTGGTTGAAAGTGTTTGAAATTTTAGTTAGGAGGCCAGGAAAAGTAACCAAGGCTTGGAGCAAAGTGAGGAGAGGCGTACTTATGCAGGCACCTTGAGGAAGAGCATTTCAGGCAGAAGGAAAGCCAATGCCAAGGCTCTGAGATGGGGGCATGCCTGGACTGTTCACAGCAATAGCAAGGAAGACAATGTGGCCAGGACACACTGAACAAGAACAGAGAGATACTGTGTGGGGATTTGTGAATACTGTAAAGACTTGGGCTTTAACTCACAGACAGGAAACCACTGAAGATTTAGCATAGAGGGAATGATATCTGAGCTTTATTTTAACAGGATCACTCTGGCTGCTACGGGGAAAATATCCAGAGGGGCAGCAAGGGCTGCAATGATATCAGTTAAGAAGCTAATTGCATAATCTAGATAAGAGAGGTCAGTGGTTTGGATCAGGGTGAAGGCAAGTGAGGGTGATGAGTAGTTCAAATTATGGATATATTCTGATGGTACAGCCAATAGGATTTTTGCAGGTAAACCAAATATGAAAGAAATTAAAAAGCCAGGGATGATATTAAAGATTGTTTTAATCTGAGCTACTGAAAGAATGTACCTGCCACTAATGAGATTGGGAAGATTGTCGAAGTAGCAAATATAAGAATTTAGGAAGTTTCATCAGAGTTTTAAAAATATTACTTTGAGATACCTATGAAAAACATCTACGGTAAAGAGAAGTCTGGACTAGAATAAATCTGGGAGTTATTACCAGAGATAGGATTTAAAACCATGAATTCTAGGGAGTAAAAATCAAACAGAAGCAGTTTAAGACTTGAATCCTGAGCACTCCAATTTTCAGAGGCTGGGAGATATGGACAAGTCAGTGTGAGAGTCTGAGAAGGAATGGACAGAAAGGTAAATAAAACTAGAGGAATGTGTTTCCTAAAAGCCAAATGACAAAATATCCCAGAGAGGGGACAGTGATAAATTGCCAAAAACTATGGACAGCTCAAGTAAGACAAAGGTAAAAAAACAGAAAAATCTTTATCAGTAAGAAGATCTCTGGAGACCTGGGAAAATAATTTTGGTGAGTGATAGAAAGCCTGACTGGAGCAGGTTTAAGGAATAATGGAAGAAGAAATGGAAGACAAGTACAGGCAATTTTAATGTATTCTGCTCTAAAGGAAGGGAGAGAAATTGGGTGGGAGCCCAAAGTGGCTAGTGGGACTTTTCATTTTAAAGAAGTTTTAACACTGATGGAAATGATCCAGTAGAGAATGAAAAACTTTTGATTCAGTGGGGAAAGGAAAGAGTTGCTGCAACAACATTCCTAAGTAGGCAAAAGGAATGGGATTTAGTCAGTGCAAGGGCTGGCATTACTTAGGAGAAAAGATGGAATATATGGACATAGATACATGTGAGCAGGTAGCTGTGGTAGCAGAAACTTGTAGAAATTATTTTATAGCTACTTCAATTTTTTCAGTAAAGTAGGAAGCAAGTCTATCAATGTAGATAAAAAAGGTGAAGGAAATATTTAGACGTTCTGGTATGTATGAAATAGGCACCTCAGAATGGGAGACAGGATGTTAGATTATGGTGTGACTGTTAGGTAACATTATGAACCCACTTCAAGTTCATGATCATGGATTTAAATTAAAGTGAGACCAGTCAGCGTTTTCTCTGATCCCTCTCACTTAGCTGTTACCAGTATTAATAGGCAGGGTGGTGGTTTTGTCAAAGAACAATGAAGTGAGGAAAAGAAAAAAGGATTTGAGGGTAAATGCAAGACAGCCATTATAAACGATGAACCATGAAACTGAAACTGGGTAAGGAGGAAACAAAGGATACAAGTGGAGAAAAAACAATGAAAAAGTGAAAAAAATCAATGGGTCCATGTGGGGCAGGAAGGACTATCAGAGGAATTAAACTAGAAAGACAGAAAGTAGTGGTAGGAAAACAAAGTCTGAAGTAGATCACAAATGGGCTCCAGTTAATAGGTAATAGTAAGGTAATAGCAAATGGGGTAACGTGAGTAATGATGAGGCAGTGCGGAGAACAAAACGAGTAAGAGGCTAAGGCATTGCTACAATCACTTAAATGAATAATCACCAGGAGCTACTATGAATGGGGAATGGAGAATATGTGGTGGCATTCCATTGTAAAAGGAAAAAGAAGTGCTCAGTAAGTACTCTAGACTGATTAACAGGAGAGTTAAGAGGACTTTCAAGGCTCAGACAAATTTTTATCAGTTTTATAAAGCATGTAAAGATGATCTGAATATTAAAATTAAAGTTGAATCTTTAAAAATATTCACCTCCACAAGTCCAGGAAGTAATGACTTGCCCATTAAATTGGTCCCAGATGATTGTGATGGATACAGGACTTCATGAATTTATGTGACTTTAAAATGTAGCAATTTTCCTGAGAAAGTTGATTTTATCAAAATTCTTTTATAAATCCAGGAAATATGTAAATACTTCAAGTCCACTTTTTACCAATTCAGCCTTATTACAAGTATTAGGTTCCAGAATATCTTTCATATGTCATGATTCTGTGACCCAGTATCAAGCAGCTCATGTGATTTTATGTCAGCATATCCACATTATCTTAACCACATTGGGTGTGAAGGATTCAGTCTAACACCATAAAACAGAACCAACTTATTATCGTGATCAAGGAACTCTAACCAAATGAATTAAACCAGTCTGCATTTATGTCAAATAATCCCTCAAAAGTTCTGACTTAAATATTTTTTTAAATTTTATATCCTAGGGATGTATGTACAGCTTGGTGACTACATTTGAAAGCTGTTAAGAGAGTAGGTCTTAAAAGTTCTTACCACAAGAAAAAACAATTGTATCTGTGGGTGGTGATAATTTTGCACTATATACATATACTGAATCACAAGTCAATTATATCTGAATTTTAAAAATTCTAGTTTAGAAGTTGTCCATATAGGATTACATCTGTATACATAGGCCAATCAAGTTTTAAAATTGAAATACAACATGATAGTCAAATTAGGAAGGAGTTTTAAAAAATTGTATGTATTATGTTTAGGAGGAAAGATCACTTAATTAGAAATATATTACATTTGTATGCCACAACTGGAGGCATTATTAGCATTAACATTGTCTTTCAATAAATTTTTACAGTAAAAAAAAAAAAAAAAAAAAAAGCTGCTTTTCTGCTCAATTTAATAAGCAATTAACTCTAAATTCAGAGTAAGCATCCACTTGTGAAGACACGATTTTCCATGATGGAAACCTAGTCTTGGTTTTCTTCCCCTTGGATGAAGACGTGATTTTGTTTGATGCTGAGTACAAAACCAAAGTTCTCAGATATGGCTAGCCTCTCCTTTGTGTAGAGTGCCACTAAGAGCCTGTGCTCCAACCCCACTTATCATGGACTAAGACATGTACGCCAGCTTTGTGGGGCCATCACATTTCAACAAGATTCCAGATCCTTTGCCAAACAAATCAGAAACAGAACCTAATGCTACAGTTGGTGTGTTGTAGTCTTTCACCAACAGGATTCAGCCCCAAATACTATACCACCTTAGAATCTAGTTTATTCTAAATGACCCTGGAATATAAACATGTTAAGAACTTTCTTAGTGAAAATAAACTAGTCAGGTTTCCATCTAACTTCCATTTAGCCACTTACCACATGAAGAGTCAGTGAAGCACTGGGCTTAAAAGTATGAACTACAAGAACCAGAAAGCCTGGGTATAACCTTAGACAAATTATTATACCTATCTGTGCCTTAGTTACCTCATTTATGAAAGAGGGAAAATAATAATTCCTACTTTAGGTATGCTTTTTCAATGAGGGTGAATATGCTGCCTGGTGGCAGGTGAAAAAATCATATTCTCTTATTTAACAAAAAAAGAATATACAAACATTGGAAAAAACCAATCTAGCTGTAGTATTAAAATTTTATGGGAGAAAAGCACAATCAGGAGAAAAATGTCAAAAAAGGATCCTAGTTTGGAGGGGGCCATTAAAAAAAAGGTTCAAAAGATTAAAACAGGCATACATGAAAATCATCTGGAGCCATGCCTAGCACATAAATAAGCACTCATTTAATGTTAAAAGAGAGATTTTTTTGACTAAATGAAGAGAGAAAGAATGGGTCCAAGTCTACCTTGAAATGCCAATTCAATCTCTCACAGGCAAAAATCTGATTTCAAAAGGGAATTCTATGTTCGTAATACACAGTGACTTACGTGGAAGTGCAACAACTGATATGCAAGGAGTAGAATCATCAGTACTCTGATCATCCTCAGAAGACAGACAAAGCCTTTTATGTGGAGGTTCGGTACTATCTTCTGAGTCTATTTCATCAGCTTCTAATGAAAACAAAACAAAACAAATCTCAAAATCTTCAAACCAGTGAGGAAAAAACAAAATTTCAAAACAATTATTAAACAATTTTCTTACCAATCTGCTCAGTTAACTAACCAAGTTGTACAAGGAGAACTCAAAACATTGCCTTCTCTGTGCCTAGTCAAGTACCTCAGAGCTCCTATTCTTGGGACAAGGAACCATGACCAAAGGCGTCACTTTTAAGCCATCACACTTTTGTCCCATCAGCAACCTAGCTTTCCCAATATTTCACATGTAAAGACTACGGCTGGTTATTTAATTCACTCACAAATATTTACTGAATACCTACTATGTGTGAAGAAGTGGGAACAAAACAATGAGAGACATCCTGACTGTCAAGGAGCTCACAGTGTAGTAGAGGAGATGACTAAACTAACAATTTCAAAATAGTGTAAGAGTTATGAAAGTAGAATAAAGAGGCTATTATACAAACAGAGAGGAGAGGCATTAAATTTAGAATGGAGGTGAAGGAAGGTTTCCTGGGGAAGAAGTCTTGAATTTGAGTAAGAAAAAGCAGCCAGGGGAAAATGATTAATTACTGGCAGTACAAGTAATATGTACCATGACACCGAGGTATGAAAATTTAAGTATTAAGAAAATAAAAATAATTGTGAACTGCTGGAACACAGATACATGAATTCAGGCAGGGAGTGAGGCTGGAAGGAAAACTGAGATGATGGGAGGCCTATGTGAATTAAAGAACCTGAATTATATTCTAAATCCAAGGGGAAGCTTTAAAAAAAAAACTACACTACTGAGTATCATAACCAATGTCATCAGCAGTTTGAAAGATGAATTAAGAGGTGGGAAATTGGCTAAAAGGCTACTGGAGCAACTCAGATGAGAAATGAGAATCTGAACTAAGAAAGAGGGACTTGAGACAGAAATGGAACAGATTCAAGAAACAGAACACTATCAGGAAGTCTTCATGATGGAATGAATGTGGGAGATGAGAAGATTTATTCCTTCTCACTTATGATCTGGGATATTAAGTCATGAAATTGAGAAAGGAAAAAAGAGAATTAGGTTTGAAAATTCTGTTAAAGAACTCACTTTGGAAAAGGTGAAATTTAAGATGCCTATGAGAAACAGAATTCAGAATAAATACAGAAGTTTGAATCCTTTTAACGGGTAGGTGGTAGTTAAAACCACAAATCTGGATGAAATAACCAAGGGATTAAGCATTAAATGAAAAGAAAAGATAGAGTGTAGGTTGAACAAAGAGAACTTAGAAGCAAAATAATAAATGTTAAATAAGAAACAGAGAAGTAACAATGCTATTACAAGCCTCAGGGCTGTTGAATCTTATCACATTAAATCTTAAATAGTCATGTAAAATTCTCTAACAGAGAGATTCTAGCGAAAAAAAAGTTCATCTCTTTGCCCCAGCAAGACTACTTCTACCTTTTCTAATACAGTATATACACTGCTGGCACCAAATGGCTTCAAATAGGATGTGTATTATAGTTAACCCATTACCATCTTTGGAGGCTCAGCAGATTCTACGTAAAAAATAGCTACAAGGTGTCATACAATTTAAAACTTATGGTAAATTGAGAAATATACAAAAGCATATTTATAAGTAAAGAAATAAAAATATAATTAATTCTACCGTCCTAGCCTAAACTGTCTATCTGGGTATCTGGGTAATAGAGATCAAAAGTGACATGAAATCCAGAAATTCAACAAGATTTATAACTATGTTAGCAAGTTCTCCTACCATTCTGAGGGCAATGAAGAATGAGGTTCCCGTCTGTGTCCCGAGTCAAAGTCACAGAGTTTATAGTTTCTACTGTTACAGTGTCAGAATCCTCTTCAGCTGTGCTCATACTCAAATCTACACAAGAACAGATTTCAGATTAGGATTGAAAAAATTTCCAAATATGAAAATGAAGTAGGCCCCTGACCTCCCCCTCCCCCCACAGTTTTTATCTGCTAGTTTCTTTTGTGAAATTGCAATGACAGTTCAGACTTGAAAATTTGTTTCTCAGAAGTTTATATCCATTACTTAGATAGAACTAGATATAATAATTGCAAGAATTTGACTTCTATGATTCATTAAAAACCTATGGCACTTATTTTGTAAAAAGAGTTTTTACCACATCCAATGAAAGAGAATCTGTTCCAAGTTTTCTGTCATATCAGCAAACTTGCACCACTTTTTAGTTATTTTTTTTTATTGGCAACTTTGTGATATACTCAAATAGGTGTTTAACTTTTGATTCTTTAGCCAAAGACTCATCAAAACTTTTATTTTAATTGAAGAATTACTTCTCCAAAACACTTTTTATAGTATTTAAGCTATATTATTATCTGAAACATAGGAAGACTAATTCTTTTTGCTGTTTTACTTAACATATGAAACAATTGCATATATCCATCAAAGACCAAATTGCTTTCTAATTGATATGGTGCTAGGCCTTCTTTTGATAAAGAGAAATGTTTTTGTTTAAAGGGCCTTTACTTTCCATTTTACACATACATTATTTTCTTCCTGTATAGACAGAATGATCAGACTTGGAACATAATATTTCATGATTGATAGGGGAAATGTATGGAATTATAATCAATGGCCTGGTTGAAGCCTCAGTTTTATTTTATAAATGTTCAATGAAGTCCTTGCCTCAGTACTCAATTTTGGTCTTGTCCATATAATTTTTACCAACTAAATTAACACAGAAGACATAATAAGCCTTAATGTATATTCATCTCTTAATACTTCCTTGGCTTCCATCCACAAAATATTACTCTGTTCATATATACCATTTATGTAAATTTTTCCTTGGCAGGAAAACTTAAGATTAAAACATGGTGAAAATCCAGTGATTCATTAATTTCACTATATAAACTTTTTATATATACAAACATTAAACAAATGTTTTTATAAACATTTACTTTTACAAATGTTCTAAAATCTTCACTATTTTACAATGGTAACGATGCCATTCCCAAATTAGATGGAAATCATGAACTAGTTATGACTAAAATTTGCAAATCACAAGGTGAATTCCTTGGAACAAAGGTAGGCTTACCTAGAAAATAGATGAATCAGGTATAGCCCTTCCCACAGAACCAAGTCTCCTTCCCTTAGCCACCAGCATCACTTTCATGTTATCCAGACTGCTTTTTCCCCATGTCCCCAACTCCACAACACTCTGAAAAAGTAACAGCATTACACGATAAGGTTTTAATAGGAATGAACAGTTGTGCACTAGCAGTATGCTGATTATACTCTAGCCTCAAGCCACTAGAAGAGAAATAACAAAACCAGAATTCTTTAAGAAACCTTTTGAGAATCAGCCTGTAGAAGTACTCCCCAATGAAGGGCAGAAATGATGAGGCACTATATCTACTAAGTTTACAGGCAGTTAGTTTCTCAACTGAAGTTGTCCATCACTGGGAAGTCAAACATCAGTAAGTTCAGCGTAGACCTAGGTACATGTAACATGATCCAGGGTGTACATTAACCAATATAGTACCATAAACATTACCAGTAACTACATAATTTAACACCTCTCTTTACATATAATACCATATTTCATCTTAAAGCATTAAAAATTATGTGTCTTTGCTACAGCATCTTACTACACTGATGGACAGTGACTGTAATGGGGTGTGTGGGGGGGACTTAGTGAAGAGGGGAGCCTAGTAAACATAATGTTCTTCATGTAACTGTAGATTAATGATAAACAAACAAACAAAAATTATGTTTTTGAACAATCCTGCCTAGTGATCTGTGGAAAAACATCCTAAACCATCAGGCCAGAAAAGGTAAATTACGAGCAAGCTTTTGAATGTAACATGAAATGTAGAAAATCTGAAAGTTTTTAAAGGTTTCTTTCAATAATCTTCTCATCTCCACCCCAAAGGGGCAACCAAAGAATTAAAAAAGCACAATAGGATTTGAGATGCAAGGGGATGTTTCTGCGAAAACTAAGGATTAAAATTCCAATTTTTGCAGTATTCTAATTAGAACTTCTCTTCAGTGGTGGTATTTGAGAACTGCTATACATAAATAAGTCTGAAGTGGAAAAGTTACAGATCCTGCTAGAGAAACCATAGTCAGCTAATAAAATTCATGGTGTTCTCATTTCCTAATCCATTACATTTTTTTAAAAAGAAGCTAGTTAATAATACCTACTGCAGAAGATGCAGAATAAAATGTCAAAAAGACAAAATCAGAGTTCACTCTTTGATGGGTATGTATGCATGAGACTAGTGTATAAGCAATTTTATATCCTGCTTTTTAGAATTCATTCATATTGAAAAGTATGCAGGAAACCAAGAAAGGTATTATCTATCTATCTATCTATCTATCTATCTATCTATCTATCTATCTATCTATCTATCTATCTATCTAATCTATCTATCTACTTTTTTATTTTGTTGTCATTAATCTACAATTACATGAAGAATATTATGTTTACTAGGGTCCCCCCTTCACCAAATCCCCCCCACAAACCCCATTACAGTACTGTCCATCAGCGTAGTAAGATGCTGTAGAATCACTACTTGTCTTCTCTGTGTTGCACAGCCCTCCCCATGCCCCCCCCATTATACACGCTAATCGTAATGCCCCCTTTCTTTTTCCCCACCCTTATCCCTCCCTTCCCACCTATCCTCCCCAGTCCCTTTCCCTTTGTTAACTGTTAGTCCATTCTTGGGTTCTGTGATGCTGCTGGAGTGCTGCAATAAACATAGGAGTGCGCATGTCTTTTTCAAACTGAGTTGCTGCATTCTTTAGGGTAAATTCCTAGAAGTGGAATTCCTGGGTCAAATGGTATTTCTATTTTGAGCTTTTTGAGGAACCTCCATACTGCTTTTCACAATGGTTGAACTAGTTTACATTCCCACCAGCAGTGCAGAAGGGTTCCCCCTTTCTCCACATCATCACCAACATTTGTTGTTGTTTGTCTTTTGGATGGTGGCGATCCTTACTGGTTTGAGGTGATATCTCATTGTGGTTTTAATTTGCATTTCTCTGATGACTAACCATGTGGAGCATCTTTTCATGTGTCTGTTGGCCATCTGAATTTCTTCTTTGGCCATTTTTTGGTCTGTTCAGCTCCTTTGCCCATTTTTTAATTGGATTATTTGCTTTTTGTTTGTTGAGGTGCGTGAGCTCTTTATATATTTTGGATGTCAACCCTTTATTGGATCTGTCATTTATGAATATATTCTCCCATACTGGAGGATGCCTTTTTGTTCTATTGGTGGTGTCCTTTGCTGTACAGAAGCTTTTCAGCTTGACATAGTCCCACTTGTTCATTTTTGCTTTTGTTTCCCTTGCCCGGGGACATGTTTATGTCCAAGAGATTTTTGCTTATGTTTTTTTCTAAGAGTGTTATGGTTTCATGAGTTACATTCAGGTCTTTGATCCATTTCAAATTTACTTTTGTATATGGGGTTAGACAATGATCCAGTTTCATTCTCTTACATGTAACTGTCCAGTTTTGCCAACACCAGCTGTTGAAGAGGCTGTCATTTCCCCATTGTATGTCCATGGCTCCTTTATCATATATTAATTGACCATATATGTTTGGGTTAATGTCTGGAGACTCTATTTTGTTACACTGTTCTGTGGCTCTGTTCTTGTGCCAGTACCAAATTGTCTTGATTACTATGGCTTTGTAGTAGAGCTTGAAGTTGGGGAGTGAGATCCCCCCTACTTTATTCTTCTTNGGACGTCTGTAATCTCCCTCCGGACTTCATCCCTTAGCTCTTGCATATTTCTCTGCAGCTCCATCAGCATGGTTTTGAGCTTTATTTTTAATTCTTTTTCAGGAAGACTGGTTAGGTCTATCTCCTTCTCAGGGTTTGCCTCTGTGATCTTGGTCTGTTATCAATTTCTTCTGCCTTTTCATGGCGTTAGATATATTTGTGGGGAGCTGGCGTGTGTGTTGGGTAAGAGAAAGTCCCTTCTTGCCAGTTTATGGCCTTCCTCTCCTGGGAGAACAGCGGCCTCTAGCGGCTTGTGCTGGGCAGCTGTGTGCAGACGGGGCTTGATCTTGCCCAGCCGTGATGGAGTTTATTTAGCTCTGCAGTTCTATGGGTGTGGCCTGCCTCAGGCTGCTGCTCCAATATGGCAGAGCTACGTCAGAGGGGGAACAGAAGGGAGGCTGTTTATTGCGGTGAGGGGCCTCCGAGCTGCGCTGCGGGGGTTCGGGCACCCAGAGTTCCCCGGGATTTGCAGCTGCTGGGCTAAGTGTCCCAGGGTGCTTTCGTCCAGCTGTGAGGTCCCTGTCCCTTTAAGACTTTCAAAAAGCACTCACTTTTTTTTGTCCTGGGTGTGCCAGCTGCGGGGACCTGCTCACAGGTCTTACTGTATGTTCCCCTAGTATCCAGCACCCCATGCACACACCGTGTGTCTGCGCCCTGGTGCAGATGGCTAGGGCTGGGTGTTTAGCAGTCCTGGGCTCCGTCTCCCTCCCCACTCCGACTCCTCTCCTCCTGCCGGGAGCTGGGGTGAGGGGCGCTTGGGTCCTGTCGGGCCAGGGCTTGTATCTTACCCCTTGGGGAGGCACTGGGTTCTCGTGGGTGTGGATGTAGTCTGGCTGTTGTCCTGTGTCTTCTGGTCTCTCTTTTAGGATTAGTTGTATTTGTTGTATTTTCAAAAATATTTATGGTTTTGGGAGATTTCCACTGCTCTACTCACGCCGCCATCTCGGTTCTCTCTGAAAGGTATTTAACTGAGGTTTTCTGTATCACAACTTGCAATGAATAAAAAAATGACACTTAACAATTAACCTATCAGTGGACACTTAGTTGTTCGCAACTTTTCATTTTCTTAAAACATACAGAAAAAGATATTTATAATTCTTTCTTCAAACAATATTAGTGAAAATTATTAGATCAGATAAGACAAAATGTAAAACTCTTAAATCTTATGGCAATCTTATGTTCTAGAAAGGTTGTACAAATTTATATCCTAACCACTGAGGTAAAAACTGTCTTGGTAATCTTGCCAATACTTTTATTGAATGAGAAGCCACAAATGAAAAAAAAACAACACAGCTGCTCATCTGATAGGTGGAAAATTATTACCTGTTTAGCATTTTAATGAATGTCAATCTCAGGACCCAAATTAACCTAAAATTTTGGGAAAAAGAAAAGACCAAAGGTGGATTTGAGAAGATATGGTGAGATTAGGAAAAATGGTCTGAAATAGCTAGATGAAGTACTTGATTCTTGACAACCTAGATTGGTCAAAGGTTATCCCATGCAGTGTACTAGCTTTAAATCAGGAATCTTGGTTCATTTTTTAAAAGTTTTATGCTCCTTTGCAGATCAACAAGCATATTTGTTCAACCAACAAATGTGTATCACATGCCTACCATGTGCCAGGCATTCTCTAGGCACTGGGGATAGAGTGGCATTTTTTACCCTGTCTCCTTAGACATGCTCTCAACTCATTTCCCAGGAGTTTCCCCCTATGACCTTCATAGAGCCATAAGATCAGTGTATTTATTAATATTTAAGAAACTTAAATGGTTTCATTTTTAATAGGTAAGACATTTACATGGTTCAGAATTCAAAAGGTAAAGGTGGTTATACAGTGAGATCTACTTCCCAGTCTCTCTCCCTGAAGGAAAAGAATGTTACTACTTTTTCGTGTTTCCTTCCAGTTATTTTATGCATATATGTCAATATATTCCCTTCTGCTACATTCTTTCTACAGAAATAGTATTACACCACAAACACCAAACTTTGCCGTAATGGCTACTTTATACAGCCTCAATAGCAAGATGAGGAGACACCACTTCCACATACACCACTGCAAGCTAACCACTTGATTAAATAGCAAAGTCTCTAAAGGTAAGACCTGATTTGGCCTGTTGGAGGGTGGAAAAAAAAGGCAGCTAGTAGAGCAGACTTCCCACCTAGAGAGCAACAACTGAATTTAAGGTTATTTATAAAGACAGGGACAGATCTCACAAGGCCTTACAAAGCCTTGGAGGGTTTTAAGTTGGGGAATATAATTTACATATTTAAAAGATCACTCAAGACTGCAGTTTAGAAAATGAGTGAGAGACTAATTTATGAGGACAAACTGTTGTTGAAAAGATGACTGTAATAAGTAGAATCAAAGAAGACTGGACAGAGGATTTACTTTGGAGGCAGTGTTGACAGGATGTGCTGAATGACTGGAGATTTA